GGCCAGATTTCCACTCGAGTGGCAGTGGAAGCACTTCGAACAAAGGCCTGAATATTACGCTGTGAAACCCGATGATCTTGACGCTCAAGACCAGCTTTCGTATGAGAAGCTGTCGGCCTATGTCAAGAGTTTCTCCCCTACGAAGTACGTGGATGTGAACAACAACCTCTTATTCGACGATGAGGGGGAGTATCTTTTAGTCAATAGGTTGGTCAACACAAAGGCCTTTCTCTAATGCTCCTCAAACGGGGAAGCCATGAGGCTTTTAGGTAGGGGACGTAGCCTAATTAATTTTGCTCCTCTTTATGTGGGAACGTGCTCGCGCTATTTTTCGTTTTTTAACCCGACTAACGGTTCCTTTTGATTGCAGGTCGAATGGCTTCCCTTTCTGAGCGTCTGTTGAAGTTGAGGCCCAAGAACGCGTCTACCTCTGGGCCAAAAAACATAGTCACCCAGCTTCAGGAACAGGCCAAACTTGCGGGTCGTGCTAGTGGTCCCCCCTCATTAAAAAATCTAGTTTCCTCTGGCGAGCCCGTCCAGATTCCCGTCAGCGAGCCTGGGGAAAAGAGGAAACGTGTGGAGAGTGCCGCATGTGTAACGCACGAGGGTGACAAAGTGCCCTTGGGGGTCTTTGTATTACCTCCTTGCTACCTAAACCGCGATCTCTTTAGTGGGGAGAGCTCCCTCGGCGTGCACTAGGAAGACAGGGAGGCGATCTTGTCTAAAGATAAGGAGATTCGTCAAAAGAATTTGGCCGAGGATGTGGCCGTTGTGATGATAGTTCTCGAGACATCCCTTTCGCTAAATGATGAGTCCTCGAGTACTCAATCCTCTCTCGACACAGCCTATGCCAAAATTCACAAGCTGAAGGCCAAAAATGAGAAGTTAAAGCGCGACATCCTTAACCATGAATCAAAGTTCGAGGCCCAAGTTCAACTTCTCAAGGATTTAAATGAGTTGAGGCCTCAACTGGAGACCGCCACTATAGAGAATGAGTGTCTGGTTGCCCGCACGATAGAGTTGGAAGGGATCACTGCTCTGCTCTAGGATGGGACCGATGCAGAGAAAGGCATGGCGACTAGGGCAGAGTTGATCGCTCGCATCAGCGTGCTTGAACAAGACGTTGTTGATACCCTTGGCTATGGCTTCAACACTGCCATCGAGCATCTGAATATCCTGAACCTGGGGGTTGAGATATTGGTCGAGGGAGCGGGCCCATTTAACTAAGTTAATGATGGGAAGATCTTTTATCCCCCTGATAGTAGTGACGGGGAAGACGAAGCTTGATTATTATTTTTTTTAGGGCATGTGTGCCCGCTATCATTCATTTCACTTTTGTGGCCGTCGTGCCTAATTTGTAATTTTGAACAGCATCGGCCCTCGTGGTCGGCATTTTATAATTGCGTTGCTTTGCTTTGATGCCATATTTTTGCTGATGTTAGCTTATTATCCTTGTTTTTCATTGTTTATGACTGTTTATTTGATGAATACTTGATATATCCTTTGGATATATGTGCCCGATCATTGTTGTGGTTGTTTATGAATTTTTCACGAAGTTCGTGTCTTCTGTGTAGAGATATGCGCTCGACCCTAATATTAGTTCGACATATGTCGAAATGTCTCGAGGGAACAGAGTGGGAATCCGCGGGACGGGCGTATGATCGCAATCGGGATCCTATGCTCGTGGCGTGAACTACCCATCGCGAGCTAGGGGTTCTGCCATATTGGGGTACTTTGACAGCATATCTCAATCGAGGTGTCCCTGTCGGGCAAGGATGCTACTCGTCAAAATGAATGACATCCTGCTTTTTGTTAGTTGGTATGCCATGTCCGTACCTCGACGCGCTTACGTGTTCGAACTCTTCCCTTCGTTGGCTGAAGATGAGTATTCGACGGAAGAAGTCCTCAACAGGTGAGGGACTTAGCTATAATATTGTTTTAGCTTCACAGCATTCCAGGGTCGAGGTAGTGGTTCTCCATTCAATTGCTCGAGGTAATATGCTCTGGTGCCTGTAGCTCTTTGGACGCGGTAAGGTCCTTCCCAGTTTACGGCCAATTTCCCTTTGCGGAAATCCTTCTAGTTTCTTCACAAGACTAGGTTGCCGACCTGAAATTCGCGCCTTATGACTTTGTTGTCGTGGCGTAGGGCTACCTGTTGTTTCAGCGTGGCCTCGCGAAGGGCTACTCCTGATCGGATTTCTTCAACAAGGTCGAGCTCGTCTCTGAGGGCCTCGTCGTTCATCTCCTTGTCGAGGGGCATTTCAGTTCGCCTAGATGGTTCCATAATTTCTACCAGGATGACGGCCTCGGTGCCGTAGGTCAGTCAGAATGGCATCTCGCCGATCGTCGAATTGGGTGTTGTTCGATAAGCCCATAGGACGTTGTGTAGTTCTTAGACCCATCCCTTTTTGGCTTCGCCTAACCTGCATTTGAGTCCTTGCAAGATGACCCTATTTGCGGCTTCGGCTTGCCCGTTGGTCTGAGGGTGTTCAACTGAGGTAAAATGTTGTTTGGTGTCGAGTTTGGCAACGAAGCTTTGGAAACCTTGGTCGGTGAACTGGGTGTCATTGTCCATGACGAGCGCTTGTGGAATCCCAAACTGAGGGAGCATGTTTCATTTGTAAAAATGAAGAATGTTGTGCGAGTTTATTTTTGCGAGGGCTTCGGCCTCTATCCACTTGGTGAAATAATCTACGGTCACGACGAGGAATTTGTTTTGGTATGTCCCTTGCACGAATGGTCCGGGGATATCCATTCCCCACCAGGCAAATTGCCACTGGGACGATAGTGTATTCAACTCGTGCAGGGGAGCGAGGTGCATGTCGGGGTGTCTTTGGCACTTATCACATTTCTTGACATGCTCTTTGGCGTCTTGTTGCATGGTCGGTCAGTAGTACCCCACTCGCAATTCTTTTCGCGCTAGGGACCTTCTACCCATGTGTTGGGCATTGATTCCTTCGTGGATTTCCCGTAGTATCTCGGGGACCACGGACTCTTAGAAGCACTTCAAGAGTGGGATGGAAAATCCACGGCGGTACAGTTTGTGCTCGAGAATGACATAAGAGCATGCTCGTCGTTTGGTCGCGGCTGCCTCCCTTTGGTCAAGAGGAAGTTCCCCATTCGTTAGAAAATTGAACATAGGGGTCATCCAGCATGAATCGTCCCTAGTGGCATTCACCTCGAGTAGGACTGTGGGGCGTCTAATTCTTGGGCAAGATAGGGACTCTTGTATGACTGATTTGTTTCTGCCCTTCTTCTTCGTACTCGCGAGCTTTTAAAGTATGTCGGCTTGTGTGTTTTGTTCGCGTGGTGCGTGTGTAATTTCTACTCGGTCAAACTTTTTCACGTATTCTTTGACCAAGTTTAAATATTCAATGAGGATGTTGTTCTTAGCCTGGTATCCCCCTTGAACTTGCAACGCGACGAGTTAGGAATCAGTGAAAATTTGTATCTCTCGAGCGCCTAAATCCTCGGCCAGTCGTAGACCTGCGAGCAGAGCTTCGTATTCTGCCTGATTGTTTGAGGTCGGGAAGAAGAGAGTGAGCGAGTGTTCGATCATGACGCCATCCTCGTTTTCAAGGAGGATTCCTGCTCCACTCCTAATCGAGCTGAAGGCTCCGTCCACAAAGATGGTCCACTTATGCTCCTTCCCTGCGAGGGGGTTGAGTGCGATCATCTCGGCGACGAAGTCGGCCAGATCTTGGGACTTTAGAGTCTTCCTGCTTTCATATTGGATGTCTAATTCTGAGATCTCCAAGGACCACTTTAGCATTCTTCCTTCCATGCCTGGTCGACCTAACAGCTGTCCTACTGGCTGGTCTATTTGTACGACGATTGTGTGCGCGAGGAAATAGTGTCTGAGCCTTCTCGATGCATTGACGAGGGCAAAATCCACCTTCTCGATCTGTTGGTATCTGACCTCGGGCCCTTGAAGCGCTTTGCTCATGAAATACACAGGTTTTTGGCCATCATGAGTCTCGCGAATGAGGGCTGCACTGACGGCTTCGACGGAGACGGCCAGATATAGGAATAACGTCTCCCCATCGACCGATCGTGATAGCACGGGCGGCTGTGAAAGGCTCTGTTTGAGATGGAGAAGGGCATGTTCGCATTCCTTGGTCCACTTGAAAGTTGCCTCCTTGCACATGAGTTTAAAAAAAGACAGGGCGTGTTGAGTGGATTTTGCAACAAAACGGGAGAGTGAGGCGAGCATACCATTCAAGACTTGTATGGATTTTTTCGAAGTGGGTGTAGAGAGGTTAGAGAATGCCTATAATTTGTCGGGGTTGGCTTTGATTCCTCGTTCTGTTAGGTAGAAGCTGAGGAACTTTCCCGCCTTAACTCTGAAGGTGCATTTCTCGGGGTTAAACCTCATTCTACATTGCCTTGCTTGGGCAAATACTTTCCTGAGATGAGTGGCATGGTCGATGTCTACTCGGGATTTGACGATCATGTCGTCCATGTATACCTCGAGCATATCTCTGATCTCGTTGTGGAAGACTTTGTTCATCATCCGGTGATATGTTGCTCCTGCATTTTTCAGATCGAAGGGCATTACGTTGTAGTAATAGTTTCCCGAGCTGGTCATGAAAGCAGTGCAGTTTTTGCCGCTCATTGCCATTGGGATTTGGTTATAGCCTGAATAGGTGTCCATGAAAGATAAAATTTTATAGTCATACGAGTTGTCGACCAACATGTCAATATTAGGCAAAGGAAGTGCATCTTTGGGGCATGCCCGGTTAATATCGGTATAGTCAACACACATATGCCATTTTCCATTACTTTTCTTGACAAGTACAACATTAGACAGCCAGGTTAAATACCGGGCTTCTGAAATAAAATTCGCCTCTAGGAGGTCTTTTACATCATTTTCAGCAGCCTCCATTTTCTCGGGGGACTACCTACGCCTATGTTGTACTACTATCCTAGCGGCTAGATCGATGGCAAGTTGATGACAGTCGACCTCGGGGTCGAGACCAGGCATCTTTGCGGCGCTCCACATGAACAAATTTGTATTCTCCCTCAAGCAGGCCTTGATCTGCTTTGTCCATAAGTCGGGGAGTCCGGTGCCAATCTTCACCCCTATGATCGGGTCTTCACCGAGAAGGACGAACTCGAAGTCCCTATCCAGAATTGGTCGGGGGAGATCCTACTCACTGTTGGAGGGTTCGTCTTGGTCAAAGCGAGTGTCCAACGATATCAAATCGACCTTTGGAGGAGCCTTCTGCACTTCTGCCTTGATGGGTTGTGGCTCTGACTGTTGTGGCTTTGGTCACACTATTGCAGCTTTCTTGGCGGGCCGTTCTCCAGCATTGATTGTGCTTTGTCCCTTGGCCATCACATTGAAGCATCTTCGGGCGGCTTCTAGGTCGCCTTGGATGGTGGCGACACGTGCCCTCTTTGTGAAGAACTTCATCTTCATATGGACGGTGGAGGGCACCGCAGTCAGCTCTGCCAGTGTCGGCCTCCTAAGGATGCAGTTTAGTGAGATGGGAAGTCGATGACGAGGAAGCGCACCTTGACTTGCCTGGTATCAGTATCTTCACCGAAGGTGACCATAAGCTCCATGTACCTCCATGGCTTGGAGGTCGAGCCATTAAAGCTCTGCAAGTCTGATCCCACGTATGGTGAAAGGTAAGAGTCGTCGAGCTGCAGGGTTCTGAAAAGCTGGTTGTACATCACGTCGGTGGAACTTCCCTCGTCGAATAGGACACGATGAACATAAAAGTTATCCATTTTCTCCCTGATCAGAAGAGGGATGGCTGAGTTAGGGGCTGTAACACCCCAATTCTACCCGGCAATTATAAATGTAAATCAGAGTCATAAAATTCATGCAAATGAATCAGGATGCCACAAATTCAACTTTAAAAACACATTGCATTCAACGTGGATACATAACACGTTAAAACTTTGGATGAACTATCAGCATAATAATTTAATCTCTTAATTCAACAACATAAACATCTACGCAACGGAATTCTTAATAACATCTTAGTCCATCGTTACAGCAACTTCAAAACAACACATACTTAGAAACAATCAAATTAAAGTTCAACAACTGAAATAATCATTAATTAAAAGCAACAAGTGTTCATTCTCCCGAGTGTTATGTATCAGAGCAATGACACCAACTCGAACTACTGAAGGTATACAGTTTTCACTCTGGATTACCTGCACGTTACCAACGTAAGGGTAACATTCAAACAGAAGGGGTGAGATATCTAACAATATAATAAAATATATGATAAATAATATATTAAATTAGATCACATAACATCACCATTTCTCATCGTATAAACAACAATAATCGCAACAGAATACCAACAATATACACATTTACCGCATCATTACACAACTTCTTTATGCAATCATATATTGCGACTCAATACTATGCAAATGCATGTGGTACCATTGGAGCAGAACTCCCATCTCAAAATAATTGTCAATAAATAGAGGCATCAACAAGGCATAAGCCTTCATCTTAATATTCGCCAATACAGGCCATCTTAATGAGCATCAGCTCCATCTTGAAACGTAATGTATGTGACACCATAATGAATGTAATAACAACAACCATAATTAACAACATCTCAACATAACATCATCGCTGGCCAGAAGCCTACATCTTAATAGCTGTCAATTATTAGAGGCATCTCAACATCATTCAACAACATCATTCGTCAACATAATTCATCAAAATAATTCATTGCATAATTCATCAACAACTCAGCCATACAACAATACAACAGTAAATCGTCAATCTTGCAACGTTGACCATAGGCCTACAACACGATATTACCTATAATTAATTAATCATCTAAGGCTTACCTCTAAATTACCAAACCTATACATATTATTATTATGAAATACTACATCATTATCATCATTAACCTTACTGTTATGAACCAAACAATAATCTATGATCATCTTATCCTCATCATACTTCACAAAATCATCATAGAGATTAACGCGGGAAGCTAACTCTAATACTAATTTGGGTACTAGTATTTACTCTCCTTGTCCTTCATTTTAATCCTTAATAATTAAGTTCATCACGTTAGTTATCCAACACTTTGAACGACAGCTCAAACGGAGTCCGGAAACTCAAGTTACAGCCTTCAGAAACAAATCTGTCAAAAATCAGACTACATGAGTCGACACGTACTGGGCTTAACATGTTGCATGTATCAACATGTACTCCCTTCGTATCGAGTCATACTGAGTCTGCAATACTGCATGTATCGATGCATGCTCCTTCGTATCGACTCATCCTGAGTCTAAAAACCTACATGTATCGACACATGACTCCTTCGTATCGACTCATCCTGAGTCTAAAAGCCTTCATGCATCGACGCATGGCTTTTGGGGGTCGACACATATTGTTTTGTCATGAATATTTTCTACAATTTCACTATGTTTTCACTGTGAATTCCATGCTTTAGGCCCTAAAAACATCCTCTAATCATATGTAATCATCAATTATAATTATCCTATATTCCTACACCAATTATGCAGCATTAGGGCATCATTATTCATCCTTAAATCATTGATTTTCATCAAACAATAATGCATATAATTCAATCATAAACCAAACAATCTTTCACATCAAATTCCATATACTAATCATCATAAACCCTGTTATAGAGTCACAACCCCACTCTTACCTTGGATTGAAGGTTGCTCTACAACTTTTCCGGTTGAATTTCGTTCTGCCTCTTTTCCTTCTTTTCTGCAACTTTCACGTTCTCTTTCTCTTCTTCCAACCCTTATTTCCTTCTCTTCTTACTGCTTTTTCTTTTTCCTTATTATTTCCAAAAAACTAATATAATAATCCTTTAATTCTTATTATTCCTTAATGGGCTTAAAACTCCTACACCCCCTTTCTACTACTTCTATTCCTTAAAATAAGCTCACATCAAATAATATTATCATTCTAATATTATTCCACAACTTAATAGAATAAATAAATTCAATAACAACAACACATCAACTATTGTAATAACACAACTTCACAAATATTCCAAAAATGATTTAATAAAATAATTAATTAAATTACGGGCGTTACAACTCTCCCCCACTTAGAATATTTTCGTCCTAGAAAATTTACCTTAATCAAACAACTTAGGATAGGAGTCCCACATCTTGCTCTCCAACTCCCAAGTCATGCTTTTTCCAGAAGCTCCTAGCGAAACCACTTTAACCAAAGCAATCTTTTTGCCCCTCAGAGTCTTTGTTTCACGATCCGCGACCCGTACAGGCATCGTCTCCATGGTAAGATTATCCCGTACTCACACATCATCCATATGAATCACATGAGATGGATCTGAAATATACTTCCGGAGTCGTGACACATGAAACACATCATGCAAATTCGAAAGATTAGGCGGTAAAGCCACTCTATAAGAAACGTTCCCAACTCTCTCTGAAATCTGATATGGTCCAATAAAACGAGAAGTGAGCTTCTTAGACTTCAATGCTCGCCCAACACCAGTCACATGTGTAACTCTCAAAAATACATGGTCACCCGCTTGAAATTCTAAGTCTTTCCTTCGCTTGTCATGATAACTCTTCTGTCTACTTTGGGAAGCTTTCATCTTTTCTCGAATCAACTTCACCTTCTCAGTAGTCTTACAAACAAATTCAGGCCCAAGTACTACACTTTCTCCAGATTCATGCCAACATAAAGGAGTTCTACATCTTCGACCATACAATGCTTCAAAAGGTGACATCCCAATACTAGAATGGTAACTGTTATTATAAGTGAACTCTATCAACGGAAGATAAGTATCTCACGAACCTCCCTGCTCAAGAACACATACCCTCAGCAAGTCTTCCAACGATTGAATAGTCTGTTCAATCTGACCATATGTCTGAGGATGATACGCCGAACTCAACCTCAACTTAGAACCCAATGCTTCTTGCAAACTCTTCCAAAAATCATAAGTAAATCTTGGATCTCTATCCCACACAATGCACAAAGGAACACCATGCAGCTTCACAATCACGCTCGTGTAAATCTCAACCAACTTCGACATTAGAAAACTGATGTTAATAGGAATAAAATGAGCCGACTTTGTAAGCCTATCAACAATCACCCAAATCGAATCATGTCCTCTTATAGTATTAGGTAACCCCGTCACAAAGTCCATCGAAATTCTATCCCATTCCATTCTGGAACTTCTAACGGTTGCATCAACCCTGCAGGCTTCTGATGTTCAACTTTCGACTTATGACAAGTCAAACATGCATACACAAACTGAGCCACATCACTCTTCATTCCAGGCCACCAAAACAAACCTTTCAAATCTTGATACATTTTTGTAGCTCCTGGATGAATACTCAACTTACTTCTATGACTCTCTTCAAGTATCACTTTCTTCATCTCAGCATCATCAAGAATACAAATCCGGTTATGAAATCTCAATGCACCTTACGCATATAGCTTAAAATCACTATTCTCAGACTGATCGATCCCAACCACCGAATCTACCAATTTCACATCCAACTTCTGAGCTTCTCTGATACTGTCTAGAAATTCATTATTAATCTTCAACATACCTAACATAACACTCTGCGACGTAACCTTGCAAACAAAGCTCATATCTCTGAATTGTTCAATTAATTCCAACTCTTTAAGCATCATTGCCGACATATGTAAAGTCTTTCGACTCAAAGCATTAGTTCCCATATTCTCTTTTCCTGGATGATAGTTCAAACCGAAATCATAATCCTTTAACAATTCCAACCATCTTCGTTGCCTCATATTCAACTCCTTCTGATTGAATAAATACTTTAAGCTCTTATGGTCACTAAACACTTCAAATCTGGAACCATAAAGATAATGCCTCCAAATCTTCAACACAAAGACAACTGCAGCTAGCTCCAAATCATGCGTAGGATAGTTCTTCTCATGAGTCCTTAACTGCCTTGATGCATAAGCAACTACCTTATCATTCTGCGTAAGTACACCTCCTAAATCCATCTTAGAAGCATCACAATATACCATAAAAGGCTCTCCCGGATTAGGCAACGTCAAAATCGGAGCCGACGTCAACTCTCTTCTTCAATTCTGTAAAACTTTCTTCGCACTGAACATCCCATACAAAAGCTCTACCTTTACAAGTCAACTTAGTCAACAGAAGTGCCAACTTAGAAAAACCTTCGATAAACCTTCTATAATAACCAGCTAATCCCAAAAAGCTTCTAATCTCAGTAGCTGGCCTCGGAGTTTCCCATTGCAACACCGCATCAACCTTCGATGGATCTACAACAATTCAACTACCTGAGATCACATGACCAAGAAACTAACCCCCTTTAACCAGAACTCACACTTGGACAGCTTTGCATACAACTTCTTCTCTTTCAAAACTTGCAATACTACTCTTAAGTGTTCTGCGTGCTCTTCTTCTGACTTAGAATAAATCAAAATATCATCAATAAACACCACCACGAACCAATCCAAATAAGTATGAAAGATACGATTCATGTATTCCATGAATACTCTCAGCGCATTAGTAACACCAAAAGGCATCACCGAATACTCATAATGTCCATAACGCATTCTGAAAGCCTTCTTCTGGATATCTTCATCCTTCACTTTAATCTAATGGTAACCCGACCTCAAATCAATCTTACTGAACACACGAGCATCCACCAATTGGTCCATCAAGTCATCTGTTCTTGGAAGCGGATACTTGTTCTTAATCTTCATTTTATTCAACTGTCTATAATCAACACAAAGCCTCATACTTCCATCTTTCTTCTTTACTAACAACACTGGAGCTCCCCATGGCGATACACTTGGTCTTACAAACTTATTTTCAAGTAACTCTTCCAATTGCTTATGTAACTCTGACAATTCAGATGCAGACATCCTGTGTGGTGTCATAGACACAGGTCTGGTACCAGGTACAAGATCAATAGCAAATTCAACTTCCCTCTCCGGCGGTACATCAGGAATCTCATCGGGGAAAACTTCAGGAAATTCACACACCACCTGCAATTCCTCAATTATAGCTTGAGTCTCTATAGATAGTGGCGCCATCAAAGAGAACATTGGTACTTCTTGCATCAACTTCCTCAACTGTCTAGCAGACAACCGACTATCTCCCTCTTCTTCAGGAGTAGAAAACCTCACAGACTTGTCATAACAGTTAATATGAACATATTTATGCCCTAACCAGTTCATACCCAAAATCACATCCAACCCTCTTAACTATAAACAAACCAAATTAACAGCAAAGTCTCTGTCGAAGATCGACAAGGGACACTTTAAACACACAAGAGAAGTAGTCACCGACCCCTTGGCTGGAGTATCGACGACCATTTCTCCCTTCATAGAAGAGAACATAAAACCCAATCTTTCAACACAATCAGTAGCAATAAAATAATGAGTAGCATTGGTATCAATAATAGTGATTAAAGGAGTACTATTGATGAAACATGTACCTCTAATAAGTATGTCCTTAACAGTTGTCTGATCCTCAACCAAAGCGAACACTTTACCACTTGTCTGCGCCCTCTTTGGTTTCTGACACTGACTACCAATGTGCCCTTCTTCACTATAATTGAAACAAATTATATCCTTATGCTTGCACTCAGATACAACATGTTCGTTCTTACCACAACAGAAACACCTCTTTACTTCAGTAGTACACACATTACTCTTATGCCCAGGTTTCCCATATTTAAAACAAACCACACCAGCAGGAGCATCTCCCCCACTAGTCCTCTGACCCTGAGCAGCTTTTTGTTTAACTTTACCAATTGGGGCATCATAAGGCTTACCACGATTATGTTGGTGCTTACCCCTCTTCTCACTGATAATCTTGTAATGAGCATTATTATCCTCTTCATAAATTTTGCAACTATCAACCAAATCAGCAAAGACACAGATCTTCTGGTATCTAACTGCCTTCTTGATCTCTGGGTGCAACTCGTTCTCAAACTTGATACACTTTGAAAACTTAGCATCTGCCTCAGGTAGTGCGGATAAAACTTAGCCAACTCATCAAATTTTGCAGCATACTCAACAACCGACATATTCCCTTGCTTCAGCTCAAGGAATTCAATTTCCTTCTTACCACAGACATCTTCAGGAAAGTACTTCCTCAGAAATTCCCTACGGAACACAGCCCAAGTGACATTTTCACCTGCAGCTTCCAATCTCTGACAAGTCTCTAGCCACCAGTCATCAGCCTCAACTGCTAGCATATGAGTACCATATCGAACCTTCTGCGCTGGAGTGCATTCCATCACACGGAAGATTATCTCAATCTCTTTCAACTAATCCAATGCTCCGTCAGGATCATACTTTCCCTTGAAGGTAGGCAGATTCTCTCTCTGGAAAGTCGCCAAACTACGAGATCCAGCATTCTCGTCAGCATTCGGCTGATTCTCCATCACATGCGCCATTGCTTCTAAAGCAGCAGCAAGTGCAGCATCATTCCTTCCAGCCATCTCAACTTATCACTACAACATAAACAACGGTTAGAACTCATACTAACAATACTCGATTGTTAGACAACTACGACTCCACAACAAGGTCGGACTGACCAACCTTTGCTCTGATACCAACTTTGTAACACCCCAATTCTACCCGGCAATTATAAATATAAATCAGAGTCATAAAATTCATGCAACTGAATCAGGATGTCACAAATTCAACTTTAAAAACACATTGCATTCAACGTGGATACATAACACTTTAAAACTTCGGATGAACTATCAGCATAATAATTTAATCTCTTAATTCAATAACTTAAACATCTACACAGCAGAATTCTTAATAACATCTTAGTCCATCGTTACAGCAACTTCAAAACAACACATACTTAGCCACAATCAAATTAAAGTTCAACAACTAAAATAATCAATAATTAAAAGCTACAAGCGTTCATCCCCCCAATGTTACGTATCAGAGCAATGACACCGACTCGAACTAGTGAAGGTATACAGCCTTCACTCTGGATTACCTGCACGTTACCAACGTAAGGGTAACATTCAAACAGAAGGGGTGAGATATCTAACAATATAATAAAATGTATGATAAATAATATATTAAATTAGATCACATAACATCACCACTTCTCATTGTATAAACAACAATAATCGTAACAGAATACCAACAATATACACATTTACCGCATCACTACACAACTTCTTTATGCAATCATATAATGCGACTCAATACTATGCAAATGCATGTGGTACCATTGGAGCAGAACTCACATCTCAAAATAATTGCCAATAAATAGAGGCATAAGCCTTCATCTTAATATTTGCCAATACAGGCCATCTTAACGAGCATCAGCTCCATCTTGAAATGCAATGTATGCGACACCGTCATGAATGTAATAACAACAACCATAATTAACAACGTCTCAACACAACATCATCGCTGGCCAGAAATATACATCTTAATAGCTGCCAATTATTAGAGGCATCTCAACATCATTCAACAAAATCATTCGTCAACATAATTCATCAAAATAATTCATTACATAATTCATCAACATAATTTCATCAACAACTCAGCCATACAACAATACAACAGTAAATCGTCAATCTTGCAACGTTGACCATAGGCCTACAACACGATATTTCCTATAATTAATTATCATCTAAGGATTACCTCTAAATTACCAAACCTCTACATATTACTATTCTGCAATACTACATCATTATCATCATTAACCTTACTGTTATGAACCAAACAATAATCTATGATCATCTTATCCTCATCATACTTCACAAAATCATCATAGCGAATAACGCGAGAAGCTAACTCTAACCTTAATCTGGGTACTAGTATTTACTCTCCTTATCATTCATTTTAATTCTTAAGAATGAAGTTCATCGCGTTAGTTATCCAACGCTTCGAATGATACCTCAAACGGAGTCCGAAAACTCAAGTTACAGCCTTCAAAAACAAATCTGTCAAAAATCAGACTACATGAGTCGACGCATAATGTCTTGAGTCGACGCGTACTGGGCTTAACATGTTGCATGTATCGACGCGTACTCCCTTCGTATCGACTCATACTGAGTCTGCAACACTGCATGTATCGATGCATGCTCCTTCGTATCGACTCATCTTGAGTCCAAAACCTGCATGTATCGACGCATGACTCCTTCGTATCGACTCATCCTGAGTCTAAAAGCCGTCATGCATCGACGCATGGCTTTTGGGGGTCGACACATACTGTTCTGTCATGAATATTTTCTGCGATTTCACTACGTTTTCACTGCGGTTTGTATGCTTTAGACCCTAAAAACATCCGCTGATCATAGATAATCATCAATTATAATTATCCTATATTTCTACACCAATTATACAGCATTAGGGCATCATTATTCATCCTTAAATCATTGATTTTCATCAAATAATAATGTATATAATTCAATCATAAACCAAACAATTTTTCACATCAAATCCCACATACTAATCATCATAAACCCTATTATAGAGTCAGAATCTCACCCTTACCTTGGATTGAAGGTTGCTCTACAACTTTTCCGGTTAAATTTCGTTCTACCTCTTTTCCTTCTTTTCTGCAACTTTCACGTTCTCTTTCTCTTCTTCCAACCCTTATTTCCTTCTCTTCTTACTGCTTCTTCTTTTTCCTTATTATTTCCAAAAAAACTAATATAATAACCATATAATTCTTATTATTCCTTAATGGGCTTAAAACTCCTACACCCCTTTCTACTACTTCTATTCCTTAAAATAAGTCCATATCAAATAATATTATCATTATAATATTATTCCACAACTTAATAGAATAAATAAATTCAATAACAACAACACATCAACTATCGTAATAACACAACTTCACAAATATTCCAAAAATAATTTAATTAAATAATTAATTAAATTACGGGCGTTACAGGGGCCCCTCCGGGCAATTCCTCGAGGAAAAAGGTGATTGACTCTAATCTTCCCTTAACCCTCTCGAAGGTCACCGTTTGCGGGGAAGCCGCGTCGACCAGCTCGTCCAACTTCCTCTTTGCTGAATTTATAGTTAAGTCATTAAACCCTCCACCATTTATGACCATGGCAGAGGGGAAATTTTCCCACCTGATGTGCGTGGACAAAGGCTCTTGCATATGTTCGGAGACGTAAAAATCCTCCAGTCTCGTAACGGAGAATGCGGTCTGGATGGGGACCGACTCGTCAGATGGTCGGGTGTCCTCCTCTATCTCCCTTGTTTCCCGGGCATCTCAATGGGGGGCGTCTCCGCGCCGATATTGCCTGAGTCTCCCCCTTTTATGAGGGTCTCGATAGCATCCTTGAGATGAACACAATCTTCAGTCAAGTGCGCATGGCTCTGGTGATACTGGCAGTATTTGCTCTGATCTGCCTCGGGTTTAGCAGAAGCGGGGCGAGGACGCTTGACGCCGCCGTCCTTGAAATATGTGTTTGCGCACTCCGCTAAAATACGCTCGCGGGAAGCCGTTAGCAGAGTGTACTCAGTAAACCTCTCTGAGGGTCCTCTTTGTTCCCGAGGGTCTCGGGGTTTGTCATCCCTTCTCTTCTCGTCAGTTCGTCGAGGAGGGTCGGTGTCTTATCACGGATGGCTGGTAGATCCGCGATTCCTGGGGTCCCTGGCTATGTTGGTCGCTTCCCTCTCCTCGTAGTCCATGTAGGCTCTGGCTTTCTCGAGGAGGGCATCGAATGTTCGGGGCGGTTCGATGCCTACGGCCTTTCTGAATTTTGTGCCCGAGAAGAGCCCCTTCTCGAGCAGGTATCTCTTCATGTGATCGGTACAGGGGACCTGGATGGCCTCCCGGTTGAACCGATCAATAAATTCCCTCAGGGTCTCGTCGTGTCTCTGGACGATGGCCTCGAGGGCTGTTTCGATGTTTGGGTGCCGTCGCGAAGCAGTGGACGAACTGATGAATTGGTTCTTTAGATTTCGTAAGCAGGTAATTGACCCCGGAGCGAGACTTTTGTACCATTCAATCGCATCCTTTCTCAAATTCGTGGGGAACAACCGGCATTTGATTGTTCCCGCGACATTGTGATAATGCAGCATGGCCTCGAACCCATCTATATGGTCGACCGGGTCGGCGATGCTGTTGTATTCCTTTAGGTGGGGGGCTTTTCCATCCCCGGGGGGATGGATGCCTCTATGATGGCTTGTGACAAGGGACTGCGGGGGTCGTCTTCGTCACTCCTGTCCGGCGAGCGAGAAGGGGATCTGATGTGCTGGCGGTCATGGTGGCCCTGGTCGCGCGGAGCGTTCCTCGGGCGATATGGTCGTTCATTGTTTCCCCAATTCCTGTCTCCAGGGGGTCTTCGTTCTTGACGCGAGGGGACGTGGTCGCATCTCCTTGGGTCAACGGGCTGGGCCCTTTCCAATGCGGGGCGTCGCCCGACTGATCGGGGAGAAGGACTTCGAGATATGTCCTGACTATGTCTCCGCGGGGGAGATCGGGGACGTTCCTCTTCTTGGCGAGGAAGAGGAGACTGAGGTCTCATGTGTCTTCTGGGGGCTCTCCGAGCATCCTCGAGCACCCTCAATCTCTCTCCTTGAGCAAAGATCGGGTAGTTGATCTGATTTATCGCCGCAAACAGTGCCCTGATCGTGGTGTCTGCTCCGGCGAAAACGGAGACCTCGTGGAACTGGATGGGTTGATAGTGTTGGGGAGGTGACCGATCGTCTTCAAGTCGTTGAGGTATCGATGATGACGAGGCAGTTGCTCCGTCTCTATAATCTGAGGGACCAGGCATATTAGCGGTGGGGACCACGTTGTGGCCGGCAGTACCAGCGTTGTTGAGGCCAGCATTATTATCGGCGACGTTGTTGTTGACGTCGATGATGCGAAAGTTCATGTTGTTTTCTGCAATTTGATCAGCCATGACAGTCGGGAGTGATTTAGCTTTAGTCTTGAGTAAAAGGAAGACGGGGAAGCAAGATTCCCACAGACGGTGCCACTGATCTTATCGGATCAGAATGGACCGTCATAGTACCTGCAAGACACTCCGATTACAAAGTAAATTGCAGAATGAGCAAATAAGTGTAAGAGTTAGAAAGTGTTGAATATCTGACCCTCTCAGAAGAGAGGGTATTTATAGTCCCCAACGCTGGGTCAATGTCCCCATTATTAGGCCACGTTGAGGCCCAATAATAGAAACTGTCAGGACTTACGTGTGTATGGAGTCCAGCAAGTGGACTCCTCCCTGGTCAACTGCTCCACAAGAATAAGGTTGAATCTGTGATTCTCGGTGAGCAGTTTAAGATGACTGTCGTGAGATCGTGGACCACGTCCTCCAACGGACATGTGGGGAGTTATCCAACGGTCCCTAACTTAGACTGTCTGTTTTTGGACTTCCTATTCAAGGGGCAAGTGTGAACCCAATCCAGATCAAAACTGATTATCCAAAAAGACCCAATATCATTGTCAAAAAACTTGTTACATCGTAATCAAAAGCTTGTTTTGTTTAGAACAGCCAAAAAGGCACATTCAGGGACAAAAATTGACTTGCAACAAACTAGTTTTTGGAATGGTAAGTGAAAGTGTAAGAACACACTGTTTGAATACTAAAATATCTCATGTTTCCTTAAACGCCCTTTTGGACCGCACAAATTTTCAAAAAGTTTGCATTCAAAATAAATGTTGAGGACCATGCATTTTCAAAATGTAACAAGAAAAGCATAAACCTTATGAACCCCCCAAAAAAAACATTTATTTTCCTGCTAAGTGTGTGGGGGAATATACTAAAAGCAAATATAATTTTATTTATTATTTAAAACTTGAAAGGAAGAAAAGATTATGAGCTAAATTCCCTATATCTTAGAACATCCAACTTGAGGAAAACTTTGTAAGATCATATCCTTCTCACAGTCGCGCCTTCGTCGTTGGATTAGATGAAGCAGGTGCACTCTGCAGACAATACAAAAAACAATGTCAATGACATGTATATGCATGTGTTCGTAAAGTGTCGGCTGTGTTCGACTTACCAAAGGAATGCCTTTTGTTGCTCTTTCTTCCAAATACCTTGATGGTTTATAAAAGTTACCATATAATTGTGTCCATTTCTTTAGGCTGCTATATATATGCTTAGCCCCAACCTGATCGGCCCAGAAAACAATGCCGCCACTGCCACAAAATTTGATTGCAATCGACACGAGTTATTTATTAGTACTTTTTATTATCTCATCGAACTCTCTTCCTTAATCATTAACAGAAGGGAAGTGGAACGTACCGATAACTTGGGAAGCTCATTCCAAGAACAGATGCAATGTCGAGGTCAGATGCTCGAATAACAACTCCTTCTTCTAAAACACGACAAGCCTCGTTCACTATTGGAAAGAGTACCATCTCCACAATCTCTTGGTCAGAGACAGATACCGGCTGCAAAAGCAACACAAGTATGAGTTTTACTCGCCTCGCTGATTAAAACATCGCATCAAAAGACATTGTCAATGAAATGTTTATATCAATAAAGAATTTATGATCCAAATAGGAACTATATGTGACGCTACAAAATAGAAGCACCTTTCCATTGGGAGCAATATTGCAAATTCTTCTAGACTCCTCAATGATTGGTAGTACGGAAGGATCGGGTTTTGGTTTGCTACCCTTTTCATAAATGTAGTACCCTCTCCCATTATTTTTTCCTGATAATGGGAAAGTATTAGTTACTTGCACAAGTAACACCTTCAGCACAAAAAAAAGCAGTTTTTTTTTGTTTAAAGGGTAATGATCAAGTGTTACCGTTTCGCCCGCTTTTGATCAAAAGATCAACCAGTGGACTTTTGAATGTGCGGTCAGGAAATGCACCAGCAAATTCTTTTCCAACTGCAACAGCAACTCCGTAGCCGGCCAGATCCTGAAGCCTGCAAGCCATAAAAAGTTTTTTTGATAAATAGAGGTAAATATTTTAATCGGCAGTGTCGTGAAGATACAGAAACACTAAGAGAAGAGAATTACTGGAGAGGACCCATGGGAAGGCCAAAATTGGTTATCAATCTGTCGATTCTGAAAGCATCGACGCCTAAGTGGAGCAATAAATGGGCACCTTGTGCGTAAGGGAAAAACGTTCTGTTCACGGCGAAGCCAGTGCAGTTACCGACCACCACAGGAGACTTTTGTATGACTTTACCAACTGCAATCAGATCAAGAATAACTTGTGCAGATGTTTTATTTGTTCGAACAATCTCTAAAAGAGGCATAATGTGAGCAGGACTGCAAATCAAGAAGCAATATCAGAAAGCGTGCATTGACTGACCATTTTCAAAAAGAAAATGAAACAAGAGTAATGAGTGAAATAATAACCTGAAAAAATGAGCACCGATAACACGGTCTTGAGAGCTTATCTTTTCACCAATAATGTTGAGGTCAATTGTAGACGTGTTTGATGCCAAAATGCAATGTGGGGGACATATCTTCTCAAGGTCACTGAATATTTCTTGTTTAAGACTGATTTTTTCAATTACAGCCTGCAAAGAGAGAACATTACTACGAATTAGCTTCAAACAATATCAACAAAGAAATGTTATATATGTCCCCCATTCATAAACAAACAATCACCGTACACGACACTGAAATTGACACATCAAGACTAGTAATGTTTTGAGAAAGTGAAATATTTAAATGTAATCACATGTGTCGCTGTCCGACACCAAACACAGTTCAACCTGAAATGCCAGTGCTACATATCACCAGCCGACAAAAATGGACTTGAGATGCTTCGAAATTTTTTTAAAGGATTCAAATTCCAATGTTCGAAACCATGCTTACTACTTAGCAAGTTAAACAAAAAAGACTTCGGGAAACCAACCTCGATGACCATGTCCACATCTTTAAATTCTGTGTAATCAAGAACGCCTTTAAGCAATGAGAGAGCTCCCTCTGCCTTTTGTTGAGTTAGCTTTTTTCTTGTTACTAAGCTGCGGATATTTGCTATCATGCAAAAGGAACCAAATTCATATTTAACAACTTGTTATAGCATAAAGTCGTACAATATCCAATTATTCCTAATATAGACACATGGCATGAATGAAAATATCACCTTCTATTGTTTTTAATCCCTTCTGAAGATATTCAGAATTGACTTCCTTGAGTATAACTCGAATGTTGCCTAGTATAAGTGCGGTAGCAATGCCAGAACCCATTAGACCTCCCCCAATAACAGCAGCTTTTCTCACATTTCTAGGCTTAAGTCCAATATCAGTTACGCCAGGAACCTGCCAAAGGAGAAAGTCAGTGACAATAACAACAACCAAGCCTTATCCCACTAAGAGGGATCGGTGGATCGGTTACATGGATCAACTTCCGCCATAATGTTCTATTCATGAGTCAGGACCATGCTTCTATCCAAATCGTTAATCTCGAGGTCTTTCTTAATAACTTCTCTTATAGTTTTTCTAGGTCTTCCTCTACCTCTAGCTGTTTGACTCCTTTCCATCTGATCTACTCCTACCAAACTACCGAAGTTTATTTTCCACCATCTTTTCTACTATAGACCAGAGTAAACTCAGTGGTTATTTTATCACATTCATTAGTGAAAATATGAGAAAATCCATTTTAAACACTAATGTACTAAACCATATGGAATTTTGGTTTTTCAGTCTTTGGAACGTAACTTGCGCTCAAATACAATGAATACCATTATACCTTTGTTAACTGAGAACTAGACAAACAATGTAGTTTTCTTTAACAAATGTTACAACAATAATAACTATTATTATAACAGGTCATATCCAGCATTGCGTACCTTTGATATTGTGTTCCGAGCAAAGAAGACATGAATTAAACCTTTTGCGGTTTCAGACAGGACTAGTTTCTTGAATACTTCAGCTTCCTGCAATTAATTTGATCATAAGTTACACGAAACTGGTAGTAAGAAACTTGCAATGCTAAGGTTTAATTACTCTATAGGTCCCTAAACTATTTGAAGAATTTTAAATAAGTCCCTATTGGGAAAACAATCATAAAGAACTAACAATACCTTTAAAACTCCACTGTAACCTCCGTGAAGTATCCCATGTTCAATCACATCTACGCAAGCTTGTTGCTGAGGCAAATGTGGAGCAGTCTTCTTGACACGTTGTCTGGCAGTTGCCAACACCTCACGTGCGTCGGAACCAAGTTTGTCTGTCCTATGAAGTGAACGAACCCAAGGTTTGCGCTTTTCGGCAATTTCAAGAGCCCACAGCCTAGATACCTTTAGTAACTCCTCGGAAGATACAATAGCATCAATAATTCCTAGTTTCTGCCCTTCTTCCGACGTGATTGGTTTAGATGTCTATGAGAAACGCAAGTTTAAAATATGTTTATTGCACCACAAAGGCGAAAAGTAATAACAAAGAAACTCACGTGTATGATAATCGATTGGAAATAAATGGTCTGCATCTTACCAGCATCATTTCAACTGCTTTAGACGTCCCAACAAGCCTCGGAAGACGCTGTGTACCTAATAAGTCAACAATTTTTGTCAACATTTCAACGAGTGATACAAAAAGATGAAAAGTTTCTTACTCCTAGCCTAGATCAGGAAACACACAGCATGCAAATTTTGATTACCTCCGAATCCGGGAATAATACCAAGTGTCAGCTCTGGCAGGCCCAGTTTAGCTTTCGGAACAGCAACACGCGCATGACATCCCTGTACAATGACAAAGCGTTACATAACAAACAGGTGCTCCCGACAATTGCCAAACAATTCTCATCTGGAAGAAAACATGCACTCTAACAGAAAAAAAAAAAAAAAACTAACCATGGCCAATTCTAATCCACCTCCAAGAGCAAGTCCCTCTATTGCTGCAACGATAGGCTTCTTCGAATCTATAATTAAAAAAAAAAATTCAATATTAGTAAACAACAATATTGCGACATGCCACGATTGCTCTAAAA